TTCCAATGGCACGATAGGAGCCCGAGGCACCTATGGCATTAGTCTGGCTAGAGCATTCCTTGGCCAGCACTGAAGTGTTGGTGCCCACACTGGCGCTGCCGCTGTTCAGCGAYATGCTGCTCATACGAGCTGAAAGCGATGCTGCCGCATTGGGCAAGCGRACCGACGACTGCTGCATATTTGATATAAATTAATATTGAAAAACTTCTATAATTTAGATTGATTTCGAAAAACATTAATAGCCGAACTTGAAAAAGAAAACTCTCATATTATCAGAACCTCACTTTTACCGCTTGTCAAAGACACAGACAGACAAATTCTGACAGAACTTACCGGAGATGGGTTGTTGTTGGTGTACACCGAGCGTTGACGCACGCCATTCGGAGACTTTGTGGGCGAGCGCAAAATGTTGTTAATCTTGTCGTTGGTCTGAGCACGCGACAAAAAGTCTTCGGCATTGAAGATGCCCACTCGGCCGCTCTTCGGGGTGACAACGGTCTCCGGCTGCTGCTCGGCCTCATCGCTTTCTGCCAGCTGGCATTGCACTTCCTTGGTAACTGGAACCATTTTCTATACTATTCTACCACAATTTAATAGAAATGTAGTTGGACGCGGCGATGTAAATGCGGAAACCCAAAGACTGCTCGACACAACGACTCTGAGAGAGAAATTTAATTTTACTTTTTTATTTTCTACTTTCAAGAGCTCTGCTCACTGCGAAAATTTGTGAAAGAATGACTCTCCACTAAATCTGCTCTTAAACAATTCATTTAGCCTAGCAGCACCATCGCCTACTTTGCTGTCAAAGTCAATTTAGCAGAGGAAGTGTTGGTAAACGCGCTGAAGCCACCAGTGATTGGCAATAGATGCAGAGCTTCTGCATGCAAATTGCTAGCATACTTTCAGGCTGAACGCGATTTGAAATCTCCTCTTATAGTGCACTTATTGATGCAATCTATACATCGGGAAATTCCATTGGCAATCAGTGAGAAGAATCAGCATTGAGCTGGCAGCTAAATTAAATTAAATAAGCGCTTCGAACTSTAAGAAGGGAAATGCGCAGAGCAAAGAAATTGTTGCTGATTGTCGTCTATAAGCCAGAGCTAAAAGCAAAAAAGCTATTGAAATATTGATTTCAGTTTGGCTCAGAGCACTTTATATTTTATATAATATATTTATTGAATAGATACTGTTGCGATTGCTGAAAGGGAAGAACATTTCGCTATTGGCTTAGGTCAAACGCACTTGGCTAAAATATGTCCTTGCCAATGACAGAGATAATTAGTTTTGCTGCCAAATATTGACAAATCGCTTCAATTGGCAATATTCATGGCTGGCCGAGAGCAGGGCCTCCCGTTGGCCAAAATGCGTGTACTTCCGACTGTATTCGAACGTCAATTAGCCAGAGATAATTCATTATGATAAATCCTTCAAGCTGTTGTGCACAAATTGCGGGGCTAGAGACGCCCCTGAACTTCCGCTGGGCCAAATCAGTGACAATTGTCGCAATTATTTTCTTGGCCAATTGCAATTGAGTAGCTGCTGCCGCTGCCGCTGCCCTGGCGTTCTGACACTTTCCTAATGCCGTTGATTAATGGCGTGGCTGTGCGGCGGTGTGGCGGTGCGGCGTGGCCTAATGAGCGCATTGACTCCTTGCAATGTTTGGCCATCGGCCCACGTCAGAACTGACCAGAATTCACAATTTATTTTTGCCAACAATTTTCATTATTTTTATTATTTTCGTTATTTTCATTTTCATTTTCGTGTTCGTTTTCRTTTGAGTTGTCAGCAGCATAGAACATATTTATGTGCAATTTATTTTTGGCTCTGCCGCTCATTAAAATACTGTTGCACTGCATATGAAAGTTGTTGGCGTGCCACGCCCACGCGTTGCATTGACTCAGTTTGCGAGAAATCCAAAAATATTGTTTACAGCATGCGTTGCGTGAATTTCAAAATCTGTTGCTGAAAATACGCATCCAAAGGCGGACAGGTGAGACGGCGGACGGGCGGACGGACGGACGGGCAGGCGAAATACGGAAGAAATTCATTTGTAAAGAAGCAAATGTTTTTCATTTAGCTCGAACAAATTGGATAACCTCCTTTTGTGAACATAACATAATACACACACACATGCACACATACATACATGTATATTCTCTTATAAACAATATTTTGTTGACAGGATTCTCAATGCTGGGGCGCAAAAGTTTTTGGGTTTTGATGGCGCATTTTAGTTTTAATTGCGGCTCGGAGCTCACAATGCTGTTGTTCAGTGAGCCACTATTGTGTATGCATTTTAATTAACTAGAATGCAAAAAACCACCAGTTGCCACAAGCAATGCATTTCCATTTGCCACAATGCCATAGAAAGCCACTGAGTGGCACAGACTGGCGCAGAGTGGGGCTATGTATGACGAGAGAGAGGGAAAGAGTAAGCGAGAGGGATAGAGCATCAATTGCCATTAGTTGTGATTTATGGCGGCCAACAGGGGACACTCTAAATAACAATACCTGTGCGGCTTGGCTGGGTTTTGCATGAATACACAAAAGTCTCGCCTTATTGAGCCACTCTGAATGGCCTCCATTATTTGGCAATTGCATTTCATCTCATTCAAGTATAATCCCAGCAAAACAAATTTATATACCACAGTTATGCAATGGCTAAGAAAATCTACGGAAGAAGCAGAGCTCTTGAGCTATTTCCGTGGCGACAAAAACGAATTTATGGCCATGTCAATGAACTGTGCACTGTGCATTGCCTCAGCAGAGAGCGATTTAGAATGGCATGGAGATGCTAAGCAGGCAGAGGAGAGAGATTCATGCGGTTGGAATTCAGGCGACACGGATGATGCTCTGCGTCTGTCCAATGGCTGACGTCATATGCATATTGTAGTGCGAGGAGGAAGCATAGGCACTCTGAGTGATAGGGAACTTATGGCATAATTGAAATTGAAATGACTTGGGCTACTTTAAGAACATTTTTAAATGTATCGCATTTTATTTATTTATATTTATTTTCATTTTTTCACAATTAACATTAAAAACAATTACCAGAGACGTAAAGCTCGGCCGACAGTTGCTTTTGTTGGAATTAATTGATTGTCAACAGCATCAGAAATGAATGAATTTAAATATGCATACATACATACATACATACATACATATAAATGTATATAATTAATTATATGAATACAAACAAAAATCTATATATCGACATCTTTGTGGTCAATTAAGGCAAACAACCTCGGCTTCTATTCAAATATATGTTTATTCTCCATATGAAATATTCTATCGTATATAGATTTCCAACTTAGTCTCCATATGCATTTTCAGATATATCTCGATGTAGTTGCTGTTGCTGTTGTTGTTGCTGTTGCTATGTTGTTGTCATGTGTCGCCTGGAAACCACATCTTAATGCTCATCAGCCTTTGCGGCATTCCAGGCATTTTCAGCCGTCTCGATTGTCACTCTCTCTGTTTTTCGACCATCATAAATCGCGTAAAGCTCATGAAGCTTGAGTGACTGTTGTTTACACAGCCAGTCCAATGGGCGAGCCGCACACATCCCCCCATCCAATACATTGAGTCTCTTCGGTTTGTCAAGTGATTCATTGGGATTTCCTGGAGTGCCCGCCCGGCCCGTGTAGACCAACGCACTTTGTCTGGGGTCTGGGGTCTGGGGTCTGTGGTTTGGACACTGGGCACTGGGCACTGGGGACCGGGTCGCCGTTTCGTGACCAATTCACCAAAAATAAAGCAAAAGTGTGCCCGAGTGTTACGTCCACACAAATAGGTGGACGTCAGTTCATCTTTTTTAGGTTTGACGTCATCAACTCGCAGCGCTGTGCCAAATGCTGGCAGTGGCGCACAGATTTCAGCGCGCTGTCTGTGGGCCCCTTCGGTGCACTTCCCAGGCGCCTCTGCGACTGCAAAAGGTGTGCTGTGGTGGAGGAGGAGGTGCGGGAGGAGGGCGGCATAGCAGGAGGTGGAGGAGGTGTAGATCTTTCGTAAGATTTAATGTCTGCTGGCGCACTGCCCGTTTGTCAGGCTAAATTTTACGCTTAATTTAAGCGGCAAACATCTGAGGTGACGTTGTCGTTTCTACTTTGATTTTGTTGTTGTTGTTGTTGCTTTTTGTTCCACAAATATAGGTCAGAAAATTCATCAATAATTAATACACTAGCCGAAAAAATAATGGCTGATAAATAATTGTGCAAGAATTGAGTGCCGTGCTTAAACTTAAAGAAAATACAAATTCTTCACAGTCATTCATTTACAATATATATATATCAACATAAATATCTGTATTCAAAGAATAATCTAAAACAACAAAATTCCATTCACTGGGTGCTAAACATTACGATTTGTGAGCTGTCTAATTATCTTACAAAGGTCAAAAACAATGGATGTGTTTATAAATAGGCGAAAGTCATTAATTTAAATACTTATCCTTCAGATTTCACACACCACAGTTCTCTATAAATACCGATGATGATCTTACGACTTTTCTCGAATTTATTGTATATAGATTTCGGTTTAGAGATAATCATTATTAAATTGATTCCACTCAACAAGAAATCAATCGATTTTATAAGATGCTAGACAAGTGCGGACGTGCCTCTTGGGCTGCACTGCTCACACGCCCACCAAAATCTCTGCTCCAGTTGTCTGTAGGGGGTGTGGGGAGGTGGGCGTGGCTGTGTCTGGGCATAAATCACGCGACTCTTAGTCGGATGTTCCGCCTTCTTTGAGTTTGCCTTTTGTTGTTGGCTTTTGTTGTCGCTGACTTGCTCGATTTTTAATTTTATATAATATATACATATA